CGGCGCATTGTGCAAGGCCGTCGCCCAAGAGTCTTGCCCTGCGAAGGCGTCGGACAAGGTGGGGGCGCCATTGGATGTCGGCGCCATCCAAGAAGCGCGCAATCCTGCGACTGTCGGCGGGACTGCCAGCGGCCCGGCAATAGCGGGAGCTGTCATTTCAGCGGGCAAACCCGCATCCACCAGCACACAGACGTAGACATCTTCGCCGGGGGGGCCAATGGACGCGTCCGTTCTCGCGGGAAATGCCATTTCATGTTTGAAACACCTGCGCTGGTTTGCGACGTCACCCATGCTGAGCTGGATCCCGGGCTGGCCCCGCGCGCGGAAGCATGGGCACTTCTGCCGCGCATTGATGGCGTGAAAAACTCAAGCCCAAGCACCAATGGGATGAAGCACTTGGTCGGGATGATACCGTCGAAGGCCTCTGTCAACAGAGCGCCGTCGAAGGAGCGCCAAAATTTTGCCCCATCTCGCAGCAAGAGCGGAATGGGTAAATACGATGGCATCGCTGTCGTCTCTAAGACTGGACCGAATCCTCTGGCCCCCCGGCAAGCAAGGAAGCAAGGACATCCGCGCACGAACTGCCCGCCGCGCCCGCCGCCCCAGGCGCGCCCCACATGGCTGCGCAGCCCGCGCGCGAAGATGCGCAGCGACTCTGAGCACAACTGCCCAGGCGCGGACGACAACTTGTGGCTCTGATCCGCGCGCGCGACTCTCCTGTCAAAGCACGCGTGCTTTTCAATTGTAAACGAGCTGTTGCGGCGCCTGCCTGCGCCGCCCGTCACGTCGGCACCCTTCAACGGCAACCAGCCAAGTAGTCGCCGTCTTGATTGCGCATCCAAGTCTGGATTTCGCCGCGACCCACCTGCCCAGACGTCATTCAAGGCTTCGTTGGCCACGACCCAGCCACCACACCTGCCCCGCGACTTGCGCGCGCCCCAGGAAGCCCCACTGGCGGCCCCACTGCGACATTGTCTGCGCCTGCAAGTCGCAGGCCACAACTCGGACATTGCAGTCTGTTCCACAGAGGCCCCATGGAAAACGCTTCGATACCGGGCCCGAAGAGGCCCATCGGATAACGCGGCGCGTTATCGGATAACGCGTCGCTAGCGCCAAATTAAATTTAATGCACCCCACCACGAGAACACTTAAATATGATTTAAACGCCACCTGAACGAAAGACTAGGCGAAACTCTCGCTCGAGACTACCTCTGAATTGGACACGCGCCCCCCACCCACGCCCCTCGCCTGCCTGCGAGGAGGGGGGGGCCAGGGAGAGGGGGAGGAGGAGGAGGAGGAGGAGGAGGAGAAGGTGCTCAAGGAGAGGAGAGGAGGAAATGAGCGAGGAGGAGGGGGGGACGAGGAGGAGGAGGAGAGGAGGCGAGGAAGAGGAGGGAAGAGGGGGGAGAGGGAGGAGAGGAGCGAGCACATGCGAGACGATAGTTTTTCGATCGCGACCAGAAAATGCGTCGATTCTCTGCGTTTGGTCCTGCAGCCGCCTCGGCTTGGATGGCGCTAAAGAAGCTGGTCTCCACGATCCGCCCCGCGGACTTTTGGCGCACTCCTGCGGGCGTTCTTCTCCAGAAGAACAGATCGTCGATGTCGTCTGAGACGGGGGCCCCCCTGAGGGCCCAACTCGAGGCGCAGGCTGAGGAGTTGGCCCGCTTGCGCGACTCGATCAGGTCCAGAACACGGTGGACAGGCCAGAACCGAGCCCGACCGCTGCGCCAGCGACGCCTGCAGAGGCAGCCGCGACCGCCGAGCCAGAGCCGCTGGCAGAGGCAGCGATCGGCGAGCCCGTCGCCCAGGATCTGCTCGAGCGGCCTCCGGCAAGTGGCGCGCTGATCGAGCGGCTTCCCGACGAGCTCCCGCAGACGGCAATTCAGGGGGGGCGGCACCCCGCCCGCGCAGCCCAATGCTTCCCCGACGGCTTCGGCGCCAGAAACCGCCCCCGGGAACCCCGCGCGATCCGAGCAGGAGCTACACGATGAGGTTCGCCGCCTGGAGGGTGTCAGCAGGTTGGGGGACAGGCAGAACCCCTGGGTACCAGCGCCCGCCGTCGACGCGGAGATTGACGACCCGCCTGCGCCTGTCACGCCACTGCCCCGGGCAACCGCGCAGCCCCTCGGGCAAGCGGAGAAGGGTGGCGTGGACGTTGACGCATTGCAATGAGTTCAGCTCCACGGCCAGAGCCCCCACGCGGAGCGCTGGCGGCGACGGCGGCAGCGCTGCGGCAAGCCCCAGGGCGCGGAGCAAGAGCCGTTCAGCATCGCGCGCTCAGCGCACCCAGAAGACCACCGACGCCGACTCGGACGACTTGCCGCTGAGCCAGCAGAGGCCTCCGCCGTCGACGCCGCGGAGCTTGAAACTCCAGCGGGGGAAGGACAGCACCAGGAGTTCAATCAACATGAGGGCGCGAATGAGGAGGGGGAGGACGAGGAGGAAGGGGGAGAATGAGGAGGAGGAAGACACGGAAGATGAGGAGAAGGATGAGGAAGTGGCACGGCGTTAACGTAGATGAAAATCCACTCGTTCCTGAAACACCGGTTGCCAACGTGTTCGAGATCAATTGCGATGCGCCAACATCCCCAGGTTCTGGGACTTTCCAGCTTCCGCCAGGTTCGGCGCGGAGACGCGCGTTCGCTGTCGATCAAACTGAAGATGATTCACGCGCCATTGAAGCCTGGACGGGGGGGGGGAGGAGGAAGAGGAAGAAGAGGAGGAGGAGGAGGAGAGGAGGAGGACGACGAAAAGGGGGGAGGGAGGATCAAGGATGACACCAGGGCGAGACCTTGCACAACGCTTCCATGTCGGGCAGGTAACACGGGTTCCAGATGTTCCAAATGACCCAGGGCACCCCAATCCCAGTCTTCTTCGACCTCCTCATCATCCGCCCCCGTCCCAGGACAAACTTATCTATTGAACGCGTTTTCCATGGGAGTGGATGTGGGTCACGAGGAACGAGGGGGTTCGAGTTCCCTCATCCCCCTCCACCTTGCCTCTCCTTCTCATCCTCACCCCCCCCTCCTCCGCCCCCCCCCCCTCTTCCTCGCCCCCCCCCCCCGCCACCCCCACCCCCCCCCCCACCCACCACGCCACCACCGCCCCCACCCCCACACCCGCGGCGCGCATCTCCCGAGCTCAAGTTCTGCACCCCCCGCAGAGAAATTTAAAAACATTCATTGAGGCCTCCGAACCTCCACAAACTAGAGCCCCGCAAACAATAGCCAACAAAAAAACAAGCAATTCACCAACAAGGAAACAAGAAAAACAAAGAATTCACCAACAAGGAAACAAGAAAAACAAAGAATTCACCAACAAGGAAACAAGAAAAACAAACCAGCAAACAATAAAACAAGACACGCAAACAAAGACACATCAAATGTAACAATATCGAAACATGCCTGGCAATGAGACTGACAAGAAACGCATCTTGGAGTGCCTGCACAATGCCATCGAGAAACAATTGCGCGACATATCATCAATGACGCCACCAACCAAACCCAGCACGTCCACTCGAACGATCACGCGCTCATCCTGGCGGGAGGCTGACGGTGGGGGGCGGAAGCCCTACGATGGAGGAGACATGCAACTTCGTTTGCTCTTTGAAACGTTCCCACTTGCCCCACTTCCCCCACATGGTCCCGCATGGCCCCGCTGGGGCCTTCAATTCCAGGCAAGGCGGGCCAAGTGGCCCCCCCCCCACCAATTCTTCGAGCCCGCGCGGAACTGGCCCCCCCAAGTGGGGCAAGTGGGGCACATTTCAAGTAGCGGTTCCCGCCCTCGCCTTGCACGGGTGCCCGACCCCCACCCTCGAGCACGCATGGGGGCCGCGCCGCGCAGCGACACCAGGACGGGGCGGCCCCCCACGCGCCAATCCCCAGAAGGAGAAAGGAGGAGGTCGAGGAGGAGGAGGAGGAAGAGAAGCAAGAGGGGGAGGAAGAGGAGGAAGAGGAGGAAGATGAAGAAGAGGAGGAGGAGATGGATGAGCAGGAGGAGGAGAAGGAGGAGGATGGAGGAGGGGGAAGGGGGGGGGGAGGAGGAAGATGATGATGAGGAGGAAGACGACGAGGAGGAGGAGGAATATGAGGAGGAGGAGGGCGAGGAATATGAGGAGAAGGATGGGGGAGGGGGAGTAGGTGACAAGGGGCACCTTAGAGCCTTATATGCGGCGAGCCAGGGCAAGGAGGAGGAAGTCACATCCTGTTCGTCCTTCCCCCCCTTCCAAACCCCATTTCTCCCGCGCCCTACCCCCGCCCTCACTGTTCAACCCTGGGCGCCCTATCAGGCGCGATCCTCAGCCTGGAAAGATAAAGCAAAGGGGAAGATAGACCCATAACGGGGGGGTGCTGGTAAGACGCCGCAGGAGAGAGGCGGGCGCGAGACGCTGAGTGGCAGAATGGGCAGGGCCAGAGGTCAGGACTAGGCGGAACAATGACAGTGCAAATGAGACGATGACCATTGATTGACACCACTGGCCCCGCGTGGGCCGATCCCTGGCGATGCATCCGCCAAACAGGTGAGCGCGGATCCAGTGGGCCGCTCGTTCACCCCGGGACGCGCGCGAGCAAGCCCGCATTGGCTGCGCGCATCCGAGCGATTCACTGCGCTAGCGCTCTGAGACCTACGACTGCGTGCGACGCGCTGCGAGAGAGGAGACCTCGCGCGCCGCCGCACCTCCTACTGAGGCGGCGATGCAACCCGATCCTGCTCATCCTGCTCAAGTGGCACACCCTTCCTCCTCCTTCCTCCTCCACCGCCCGCTGAATTACTCCTGGCTGACATCACCCTGGCCCGCGAGAGCCGAAAGCCTTGATGTGCTTCTGCATCGAGGCAGGGAGGCAACTCCAGCTCTCGGAGAAAGACGATTGGGAGATACTCTTTTCAAGTTTCTCCCGCTCGGCTTCTTGGTTACGCCAGCCTTTAATTTTTGGCCAGGCAACCTTGATATGAAATAAACAAAAAGTGAGCGAAACCAATTTCAATCCGTCCTTGCACACCTTGTCGGCGCGCTGCACCTTCTCAGCGGGCACGACGCCGTCGAGGTCGCGCGCCAACTTGGAGATCTCCCCGATGCGCTTGCACATCGGCGCGATATGCTGATAGCCCGCATTCTTCAAGATCTTCTCGCACAGGGCAGTCTGGGATGGCAGGAGAAGCTCATCCTTGTGCGGCTCCCACTCGATCAGGTGGCCCTCGAGGTGGCTGACGAGGCCGTCGAGCAGAACAGTCCAGACCCCTCCGACCCTGCCCACGAACATCTGAGACCACTTCCTCGAGATGGAAACCAGCTCAGTGTAAGAATAACAGTCGAGCAACTCGGGGTGGATGACCACGTCCCCCTCGGATTCGCGGATCTCCTTGATGGCCTGGCTCACGTTCTCCTTGTCGGAGACATCTTTGACGGCATTGGCAACGACGGTGTTGAGGTCGTCCATCGCCCGCGAGCATGCCTGGAGCATCTCCTTGGAGTCTGAAGTCAAGCACATCTTATCGTAGGAGCCACGGGAGGCGTCCTCCCATTTCATCCCGATTGCCAGCGCCCGGGCCAGCCTCACCAGCTTGTCGAAAAACGTGGCCTGGCGAAGGAGAACAGGATCAACAAGGCGCTGGGAAACCTCGAGAATTGGCGAGATCATGCTAGTGATACCATCGTCCGTGAGCTCCGCATAGGTGTCGATGTTCTTCGGATCAACGAGAGTCTCGGAGTCACTGCCGAGAAACTTCGAAAGGCCGACGGCTCCCAGGAACGTTTTCAGGTGGACCAGGGCATGACCGAAGTCATTCGCGATGATCTCCTCCATCTCTCCCAGCTTCTGGTTCTGAACTGGATCACCCAAGCACTTGACGTAATTCTGAAACTCGTGTCTCAAGTCCGCCTGCCCCCAGCATCTGGGGGCGCGGGCATGTTTCACGTGGTCTCGTTGTCGTCGCTAGCCTGCTTTCGTCGCGTCTGCCCTCCCCCCCCCCCCCCTCCAAGCTGCCTCCTTCTCTGGCCCTCTCATCCTCCACCCCCCGCCCGCCCATCCCCTCGCCGCAGTGCCCCCCCCCTCCCCCATGCCGCGGCGGTTGCGGCGCAGCCATTCGTAGCGGCGCCAGCGACGTCCTGGATAAGACCGAGCAAGAACGAGCTGATGTTGACGTCGGCGTCCATGCGCAACCTGAGAGCGTAGACTGCATCTATGTCATCAGAAACCTTGAAGATAAGATACTCCTGAACCACCTTCATCAGATTGACCACCCCAGCGAACGCGTCGACCACTGTCTCGGCCGAGACGTTGAAGCAGTGGAAAGACTTGGCCAGAATCGATATGTCATTGCCTGCGTTCACTAGCTGCGTCCACGAATCCACGCCATCGACCATGAAATCGGCAGCAGTCTTCGGCTCGAACGTTTCCAGCAGGACGGTCCTCTGCCAGACCTCGACAAAGTCCTTGGCATAGCACTGGAGCATATCGGCGCACATGGTGGCGAGACCAGCCGCGTGCGGCTCTAACATGTCCTTCGCGAAGATGTCGGACCCCTTGGCCATCTCGTTGTGGAACTCCACCATCTGCGAAGCAATCGCGCTGAGGCCCGTGGCGCGGACGTCACCAGCAGCCCGAACCTTCGAAAACCACTCCGCAAAACGGCCCTTGAGCTGCGACTTCTGCTCCTGGATGGGAGGCTGAAATCAGGGCGGCGGTGGGAATAGGGCCCCAAGCTTCGGAGAGGCTCGAAGTCGGGACAGGAGGGCCAGGGGGGGGCGAGGCGGAGGAGGAGCAGGAGGAGGTGGAGGAGGAGGAGCAGGGGGGGCAGGAGGAGGAGGAGGAGGAGGAGGAGGAGGAGGACCTTCTGGCTTTGGCCGGGTAGAGCCAGGGCAGGAGGAGCAGCAAAGGAGCGGCAAAATCAGCGCGAGGGCAGGCCGGGGCACGAAGAAAGGGAACAGGCGGGAGGAGGGCCAGCATGCGTTTAATCAGCCAATCCTTCTCCGCCCGGACCGCGTCCGCACTGGCAAGAAGATCTTTTCCACCGGGGAAGGTCGTCAGGAGCCCGACGAACTTCGCATCGGCACCCTTCACGTACTCGATGCCCTCCTTGATGGATACCTCGTCGAACTTCTCCGGGGACACCACCGCGGAGAGCATCTGCAACTCCTGGGCGATCTCCTCATCGAGCTTCTCGGGCTGGACTTCGACGAGCGCGACTAGAGCGGCTCGCAACGGGTACGCGTCAGGGTCCCTGGCCATGGAACTCAGAAGCGTCTTCATCATCTCGAGCCGCGTCTCCAGGAACCTCGAGGGACAGACCCGCCCCAGAGGGCCCCCGAAGGCCGCGTCGGGCCATGCGAGCTCGGCGTGGTTTCCCGTTTTGCCAAGGGTTCAACGCAAACGCGGACGCTCGGCTCACGCCGAACAAAATCGGTAGCTTTCGCGGGACACGTGCGATTTCGCCCCTCCCCCCTGGGTCGTGCTCAGAGCTTCTCAGCCCAATTATCCCGCTACCTCTGGGCCCTAGTGATTCGCATACGAAGTGGCATTAAAAAAAAACACATGGCCTTGCCCCGGGGGCCTCCGCGGGCCTCTGGGCAAGGCTTCGCAATTCACCCACCGCTGTTTGCCCGCCAGAGAACTCCGATTCCTCGTACGACGCGTCCCGCAGAGATTGCGGAGAGAGAAGCGCCCAGAAGTCGCTGACCTGGTCAATGTCCTGAGGGAGGAGGCGAAGGAGGAAGAGGAGGAAGAGGGGGAGGGGGGAGGAGGGGGAGAAGGGGGGAAGAGGGGGAGGTTATTATTCGAGGAGAAGCAAGACGAGTACGATTAATCGGAGGCGCAGGAGAGGGAGGAGGAGGAGAGGGGGAGGAGGAGGAGGAGGAGGACGAGGAGGAAGAGGAAGGGCGAGGGAGGAGACGGAGGAAGCAGACACACATTCCAAGAACCTCCAAGCAGGGTGCCCCCGCCCGTCTGCCAAGCCACGCCGCCCGCCACCCTAAAAGGCTTTAAGACTCCCTCCCCGAACCCAGACCTCTGACGTCGGAAATTGCCCACTGCATGGGCCTGCGGAAAAGGCCCCCCAGCTCCGCTTCCTCCTCCTCCTCCTCCTCCTCCTCCTCTCTCCTCTCTCCTCTCTCCACTCTCCTCTCTCCTCTCTCCTCTCTCCTCTCCTCTCCCCACTC